AACCTACATGGCTTCAGCCTTCCCCCCGCGCACGACTCGGCGTCCACCGACCGCCGGCAGATGAGACAAACATCAGGGATGCCGCGCCTGTGCCGCCGCCGCTGCTCTTGGGCGCCCTCCCTGTCGGTGGACGCCCTCGGGTATAAGTCCTCTCGCCCGTCCAAAATCCCGGCTTCGATCCCAAGTCCTCAGGCCCCCTTGAAATCCTCCCTTGGCAGGCTGTTTCATTCATCTAGTCCCTTCCAGGCCAGATCAGCAAAGCCACGAACCCCCAGCATGTTCCCCAGCATGTTTGGCAAAGATCAGCACATGGGCGGTGCCGCCGTAACGGGCCTTCTCCAGCACCCGACCCCGGACGACCCGTACAGGTACCAGTTCGGCTTTGGCAACCACCATGCTACCGAAGCCATCCCCGGCGCCTTGCCTCTCAACGGGACCAACCTGCCGCAGAGGGGCAAGTACGGCCTCTATCCGGAGCATCTGAACGGCACCTCGTTCATCTCGTCTCGCGAGAGCGTGTCGAACGTGTAAGTGGTTGCGCTGCCGCATCCGCACGGATCCCGCACTCAAGCGTTGTGCAGGTGGTTATACAGAGAGCGACCCGGGGCGCCACACAGCACCCCCAGGCCAACCGAGCGGCCGCATGAGGTGGGTTGCTTCCGTCAGGCCTGCCTGTCTGGCGGCCTGCCTACATGCCTAGGTTATAACGTTACTTCCTGTGCTAACCTGCGGGTGTTCCTGCATCACGCCGATCAGATCGAGTCGTCTTTTCTCCCCACCAACCCCAACGTCCAGTTTGCCCCGCTCACGCACACCTGGGGCCCCCTCACGCCACCGCCAAACACCTCCACCACCACCTTCGTGCAGGGTTTGAAAACCATCGGCGGCAATGGCGACGCCACGCTCAAAGAGGGCGTCGCCGTGCACCAGTACGCCTTCAACGCCGACATGCACCGCCAGGCCTTCGTCAACCACGACGGCGACATGCTCATCGTCCCGCAGCGCGGCGTCCTTGACATCAAAACCGAACTCGGCTGCCTGCGCGTCAAGCCCGGCATGATCACGGTCATCCCCGCCGGCATCCGCTACGCCGTCCGCGTCGTCCCCCACGATCCGCCCTCCCCCGCGCCCCTCGTCGCAGGCGGCTACGCCCTCGAGGTCTTCGGCACCCGCTTCGTCCTCCCCGAGCTCGGCGTCCTCGGCGCGAACGCCCTCGCCCACATCCGCGACTTCGAATACCCCGTCGCCGCCTTCGATCTCGAGTCCCTCGCCGACAACAGCAGCAACACCCACCTTCCCCCCTGGGAAATCACCATCAAGCTCTCGGGCCGTCTGTACTCGTACACGCAGCCGCATACCCCGTTTGACGTCGTCGCGTGGCACGGGACCCACGCCCCGTTTCGCTACGACCTCGCGCGCTTTCACCACCTTGTTGCCAACACGGATCAGCTGGATCCCACTGCGTTTTGCGTGCTCACCGCGCCGAGCAAGTGGCCCGGGGTGAGCCAAGTGGATTTCTGCATCTTTGGCGAGAAGTGGGCGGTGGCGAGGGATACGATGAGGATTCCGTACTATCATCGCACGGTGGCGACGGAGCTGCTTGGGATTATCAAGGGGGAGTATAAGGGGAAGGTGAGGGCGCTCGAGCCGGGCGGGCTGGCGTTTGAGCAGGCGTATATGCCGCATGGGGAGACGTACGAGACGTGGGTGAGGGATAGAGAGGCCGGGAGGGAGGCTGTGAGGGTGATGGAGGGGTATTTGGGGTTTATGTTTCATGTCACGGGGCATGTGGGGTTGACGGGGTGGGCTAGGGGGGGGCATCCGGATATTAGAGGTGAGTTCCATCCGTTTTTGTTTATTGTCTCCTTTGGGTTTGGTTTGTTGGTTTGTCGTTGGTAGGATATCCCTCTATTGTGGTTTGTGCTGACATGGCAGCAGCTGAGCGGCCTGGCGTATGGGACAACTTTAGGAGTCATCTCCTTGATCACATCGACGAGGCCAACGCCAGTCTCTTGGAGGCGGGCATGAAGACGCTTCAGCATCCGCAGCCTCCGATTTCGCCGCCTGCGAGTCCGTCGTATACCATTGTTCCATCGGATGATGATACCGTTCCCGTGCCGGGTGGTATCAGTGAGAACCAGAACGAGCGTTGAGATCTGGTGGTGCTGTCTTTTTTTCTTTTTTCTTTTTTTTGGATGACGTTCGTTTCATTCCTATGTGTTTCTTCATATATTATTATTACGGTGAAAAATTTGGGTGTTCTATGTCCTGGACGGGCTGTCTGGGACGCCGGGTTACCAGACCTTTGATAGATACCCTATATATGCGCAAGCAGGCAGGTTGGGAATACATGATAGATTTGGTTGGGTGAGATGTTTGCTTGGCTGGTGATGATCTGTGATGTCTGTCGTTGTGGGCTACACTTGATACGTGTGGCTCTGGTCAGTTGGCCGCCATTCGTTCTGGGATATCATATCCCTTTACTGATTCGGCCTCCCTTCTGTGTCAATTATTTTCTATGTTCAAACAGCGAAGAAGCAATTGTCAACAAGCGCAATTCAGGACAAGCCGGCAGTCGATGCCCGAGTTTGAAGGTGCAAATGATTAATTGAGGCAGGCAGGTGTGTGGAACGCTAGGCGGAGCACGTCATCGAGCTTGCGAGCAGTGGAAGTGCAGTTGCAAAGTGACTTGAATTTTTGGAAGTGAAATCGGGAGAGAAGCTCCCTTTAAATACAAATGAAACGGCTCCTCGGAGCTCGGAGCACCTGGCCATCGGTTCCGGCGCTCTGTGGAGCGCCGGACCGGTGGTTTCCAGGCTCGTGGGGCCTTGGCTTGGCGCCAAGGCACCCCCCAGATTTTGACAAGGTGCTACCAGGTATCAAATCTGTCCAATAACTCCAACGCCAAAAATCAAACCCTTCCATCCTTCCACTCCAACCGCTAACACGACCCGTCAATCGTCGCCGTTATCACCTCGAGCACCGTTACCTGCCCGCCATAATCCCCCAGCGCCAGCCACCGATTATTATGACTGAACGCCGCCGTCGTAATCAACTGGTGACCCGCATCGAGCGGGTAATCCGCCCGGAACAAGCCTGTCTCCGCATCAATAACATCGATCCCGTCCTCCGTCCTGCACGCCAGGTGCTGCCCATCAGGCGAGATGGCAAGAGGCCACCCCTCGCTCTGCCGCACCGTATCGAGGTTGAAAACGCTCATCGTGTCCGCGTTTAGCCTCCATGAGTACACCTGCCGCCCCCACACCGACACGACCAGGTCCCCGTCCATCGAGAGCCGCACCAGACTCGCCGGCACCCTCGTGTCCACTTCGGCTTTGCGCAGCGTTCGCCCCGATTGCAGGCTCGTCATGCGGATGCTGCCGTCGGTGGAAGCGCTGACGAGCGCGGTCCCGTCGGGCGTCACGGATAAGTGCGTTACGAGACTAGAATGCACTTGAACGAGGCGCGAGATGACGGGTCGCAGCTCGTTCCGGAGGTCCAGGATGGCGATTCGGCTGGGGGTCCGGATCGGGATGGCGGCGAGGTGGCTCCCATCTGGCATGCAGGCGAGGGGCCCGCGGAGCGCGACGTCGGCTTTGATGCGCCGCTTGTCGGTGAAGAGGTCGAAGACTTCGACGCGGGGGCAGCCGGAGACGCCGTCGGAGGTGCCGGCGCGGTCGTCGGCTTGGCGGTGCTCGGTCATGCGGAAGGCGGTGGCCATCATGGCGAGGCCGGGGCCGGGGCTGAGGGCGAAGTCGCCGTGGGTGCGGAGGCCCCCGGACGGGGCGGGCCGGATGTTTTTTCGTCGCATGGTGTTGACGTCGAACATGACGATCTGGGAGGAGAGGACGCCGCTGGTGCGCGTGGAGTTGTTCATGGCGGGCGGGAGCCGGCAGACGAGATGCGCGTCGGAGGTGGTGAAGCCGAGCTGCTCGACCTCGAAGCCTGTGATGGCGGCGAACTTGTTCTTCAGCGCCAGGACCATGGTGGTCACTTGTTGAGCCATGGGGAACTCGGGTTCCTTCTCGTCTGGCGGATCATCCCACTTGCGCTGCTGCTTGGAGATGCTGCTGTCCTCGCTCCGGTGGCTGCCGGCTTGGCTACCCCTCTCGCTGATGGACGGGGCCGGAGACCGGGAGGGGCCCGCATCGTCGTCAGGGGGGCGTAGCCATTCGGGGTCTTTGCCCTTGGATCTGAAAAAAGACATGGCGGTTTTGTGAGGGGGGATCTTGATGAATGTTTGTGGGGAATGAGGAGGTGGTGAGAGTGGGCGATCCTTTCTGCTGACATATTCGTAGCTGTTCGACTGCGCATCCAATGGGAGGCCCCAAACTACGGCCCCTAAACCGAGCGATCCTACCCAGCACCGCCACTGCCGTGCAGCCTTATGGGCCTCCCAACTGGGTCCCAGCGCCTCGGCTCTCCTTGGACGGATGGCGATCTGTTTCCTGGTTGGTGCAAATAGCCTGATTGCTATGATGGCCATGGCAGGCAGACGCGAATGATCTTGGTGCGCCAATACGAGGGAGAGATGGGGTCGGATACGGCCAATGATAATGCATTGTTTCCAGGTTTGTGAAGTCATATCTCAGTTGATATCTACAAATCTCACAATGATAGGTGCGGTGTTGAGATGAGTTTTCAACCTTGGAGTCAGATGATACTGAATCGAAGAGAGATTGGGGTATCGATCAGTGGAAAGAGACAACCATCTTACAGGAGGGTGAGCATGCTATTTGAAGCAAAGTTGGATGAGAGGGTAGTTGTTGGTGTAAGTCAAAAGTACTCGCCCCTTCCCCTATCACGATGCTGTTGCTGACTACATATTTGCTGCTAGATTCTGAAATGTGAGGCACGTCACCAGTCTCAGTCCAAAGGTTTCAGAGCCGAGGTCGCAGAGCCGAGGTCACCGGAAACTCTCTTCTCCTCCAAAGGGCCAAGTCACATTGGTGGCTGGCAAAAGGGGGGCTGTCACGGTGCCAACCACAAGCAAAAAGGATTGGGCAGGCCGGGACTCGAACCCGGATCTTTCGCTAAACGCTGGAGGAAATACAACGCTGAATACGCTTAGAGAACGCTTTACCACTACGCTACCTGCCCGATTGTCCTCCCAATTTCTTTCACTTTTAACCTTGCGGTCGACCCCGTCACGACTCACCGCCCGCCAAGTCGTTGAGCATGATGCCAAGCGTTCTCACTGACCGCCTCGACATTCAGCGGCCTTCCGCGTGACGTTGAGCTGACGATGTCAGTCTCGAAATTAACCGGCCTCGCTAGCACCATTGCCGCCTACTACCGTGACAACCGGCGAACAAGACGGCGTTGTTACCAAACTGGAACTTCGATTGGAGGCCGTCAAGTTTACGACACCTCAGGCTCATGGTTGCATCTCTACACGTTACGAGCAGGCCAATGTTAGCAGACGGTTGGGGTTTTACAACCACAATATTGGTCGAGGCCCATGGTTGCATCTCTACGAGCGGGCAAATGTCAGCTGACCGTTGGGGTTTTATGACAAGAATATTGACCGAGGTCCACCTGGGTTGGACACCTACGCTGGCAATCAGGGGTAGCATCGATATCTCACCTCCTCGGTCAGGAGATTGGGGTAATGTGACAGCAACTTGAACCCTTTTCTCGTTACGACACACCCTATTCAGACTTCAGGAGAAACTCAACGATGGAATAGGCGGGTATAAAAAGGGGAGCTGTGGCTCACTTTTGGGGACCTACACTCAGACATCACATCTTCAGTCTGGTCAAGCAGCCATCACTCACCAACATGCCTTCCTCAAAGTACATTCTGGCGCTGATGGCCGGCCTCGTCGGCTCATCCGCCGCCGCCGCCGTCTCTCTTGCACCCAAGACCGAGAACCTCTTCCGACGCGACCCAGTACCAAACAGACTGCCACAGTGCGCAAACGCCGACGACCTGACCTTCCAACCGGTTCTCGACTTCGACACAGACGGATGCTACAACGTCCCAGCCATCGGCGCCGAAGGCTGGCTCAACCCCGGCATGGGCTGCACCGCCGGAAGCTCCCCCCAAGGCGGCTGCCGCGACATCTGGGACCTCGACAACAACCAGGTGTACTCGCGCACGCGCTGCAACAACAACTGGTGCGCGCACATGTACGGCTACTACTTTGAGAAGGACTGGCGCGACGGGCTGTGCGCCATCGGCCACGTCCACGACTGGGAGCACGTCGTCGTGTGGACGCGCGTCGAGAACGGCCAGCGCGTGGCCAAGTACGTTGCCGCGTCGGCGCACGGCAAGTATAACATCAAGGCCAGGGGCGACGCGAGCTTGCGCTGGGAGGGCACGCATCCGAAGATTGTGTATCATCGGGATGATGCCAACGGCGGCACGCACGCCTTTCGGTTTGCCAACGCGGGGGATGACAGGATTGAGAATCATTATGGGCGGTGGTTTGCGGGCGCGCTGCTTAGCTATAGGGGGTATCCGAGTGAGGGGCTGAGGAGCAGGTTGCTCGGTGCGGATTGGGGGAGTGCGAAGATTGATTTTAAGGATGCGGAGTTCCAGAACGCGTTGAATAAGGCGAGGCCGAGTGAGGCTTCGGCGTTTAACTCGGGGACGGATAATGAGTCGCCGGGGAAGCCGGGGGGTTGTGGGTTTTAGGGAGGTTGATGATTTGGGGTTGATGTTGTCTTCACTTCAGTTCAATTCAGTTTGGTGTACCCGTAACCTGAGAGTCGATCATTGTGGAATCTCTCCGGGAGGGTTTTGGATGGCATTTTGGACTCGGCGGATACGTATCAACTACCTTGGTCAACTTGAGGTGCTCTTCAGATATCAAGTTTAACGGAGTCTGTCTCGTTACGTGGTGAGATATATCTCTTCTTCTGTCATGCATTTGGCACCCCGTAGGATTTTCTTTGATGCGTCGAGGGTCTTTTGTATCCAGTGAAGGCCTCCCTGGAAAAAGGACTATCGGCACAAGAGATATCCCCACCGCGTACCCGTCTTCCATAGACTGAACGAGACCATATGCATGCCGAGTCTCAGGGGCCAATGATAATGAACGGCGCTTGAGTGATTAACTCTCAACAGCTCTTAGGTAAACTCTCCCTTATCATAATTACTCCGTTTGACGTAGCATCACTAAGAATACGCTACCAACACAACGGCTGTTACCCGAGACGGACAGAGACGAACTCTTGGGTATGGTGCCTATCCCCGTTTAATGTAGCACTGCTACGGATCCGCTACCAGTAGCGTCTACCTCCGGCGTTTTAATGGCTGTCAACCCTGTGATGACCTAGCTGGTTAGGGTATCTCGCCCCGGCCATGACGCGCATCAAATCACCTCCATGTCGTCATAGACGTGATTGGCGATCATTATCTGTGCCCATCTCCACTTGCACCGGTAAGAGAATTAGGTAATGACAGGAACCCGAGCGGCACTTGTCATGACCATCAACTCAACTTGTCTCGTCTCGTCGCGACGAAGAAAATCTCCTCATGATAATAACCACAGCAACTGCTCATACCCGTCCTTGCAAGCCAGGGTGATGGTAGATTGGAGCACTGTGGATAGGCCGCGACAGCACTCCATCGCATGACAAACCGGCTTGAAAAGGGAGAGGCTGGGTTGAAGAAACAAAACTCGAAAGAAAAAAACTTTCCACATCCTACGTTTTTAGACACAGATTCGCGGGTGGGAAGCACGGCATTATAACCAAGTCAGGATGAACCACAAAACACGCGACGCGACTGACAGAGCAAAAAAAAACTAAGCCACGAGGCCCGAGATTTGGCGGGGTGAGCGGTGAGCCGGCCGGGAAGGGCCCTGTTGTTCGGTCCGGGCTTGGCCCCGGGTCTCACCTTGGGGCGCCGAACGGTGGCTGAGGGGCGGCTGCGATTGGGCGGAGACGCACTGCAGTAGGTGGTTGCTCTTGCGTGTGCAGGGTCTGCGACGGTGGTGGTGCGCCCGATCGTCCAAGACAGCTTGCCTCAGCGAGCGAGTGGAGAGCGGTTTCGAAGCATTGTCGATTATTCTTGTCGAGGGAGGCTCAGGAATTTGCGGGGGGCGACGGTTTGCAGCCAAGGCCGCGAGGAGGGGATCGCGGCGCGGCGTTTGGGTCGGTCGGGGGAGGAGCCCGGCGCCGCGAGTCGGGCTTCGCTATGCCTTACAGCTCCACAGTTGTCCCGACCTCTGAACGGGCCCCTCTGAACACGAAGGAAAATAGCAATGAGGAATGACAAAGGTAGGGGAATTAAGGCGCGTGGACGATGCTGTGCTGTGGGCAGTAGTAAGGCCCGTGTCTCTCCATTTTAATTGCGAAACCAAAGGCATTGCCGTCTTCATTTCACAACAGGGCAGACACGAGCCAGCGCAACAAATGCGATGGTGCTTTGGTGACCACCTTGCGGCCCCCCAAAACACCCATCGGAGAGGGCCGCCAGCCGCCGAGACTCAAAGTCGCGCTGCGGCACAAGCTGTGTGTGAGAAGGATGATTGCTGAGAAATGGCCCAAATTTGAGTGAATCGGCGCTCGCCTGCCAGCGAGCTCACCCCCCGCGAGCGGCCTTGTCCGTCCAACCAGGGACAGACAACCCCCACGAACTTGCCCAGAGTCTCGCGTTGCCGGTGCGTCCATCTGGGGAAAGGCTCTCACTCAGCCTGGGGGCGTATCTTATCCTTATCAGGACGTGTGTGGCGTGTGTTGGCTCGAGGCGGGTGCCTCGGCAGACGGCTCGCCCATTGTCTGACAGCCAGACATGGACTGGCGAACAATTTGACGAAGCTCCAAATTCAAGAGGCGTGCAGCAGCAGCTTGGCACTAGCGTCTTGGCGAGATAGGCGGCCCCGCCCCGTCTCATGCACCTCCCCCTCCATCTTGGATGTTTTGGGAGCTTGCCGCTTGCGCTCGAGCTCCAATGGCGACCGAATCCTGACAGCAGTCGATTAGATGAGCTATCGATGATAGTGTGAGCTGAAGTCGGAGAATCCGACCGCCCCTGTCTCAAGCGCTGCGCGTCTCGGTCTGGACTCTTGGACCTGTGCGACGAGCCTCGCTGCTATTGAGCAACCGAAAGAGGCCGGGAGAGCCCGGCTGCCCTGGATAGTTATCGCGCGCCCCTCGCGCGCCCCTCACTTTGATGGGGCTCGCCGATGCGGTGTCCCCACCGATGGGGCACCGATATGCTTCTCGAAATCTGACGCTTCCATGCTGCTGCCAGGAAACGGGGAGCTGGGGTGGCAAGGACTCCGGGTGAGTGTAGTGTCGTGTGGCATCGGCCGGGATTTGCGGTGATGTGCACACAGCGTAGGTAGGTCCAGACGCGCTCGGGACCACACGACAGCAGCAGGAGGGGGCCGAGGGTGCGGGACAATCTGTCAATCACACCCCAAGCTGCGTTTCCCCAGCTCCCAGCTCGAATCCATCACCAATATCTCTTCCCAAAGCTCAAACGCACGGCCAATGAGCCACGCTCTGGAGCTGCCCACTCGCGCCAAGCCGCAGGACGCCATGCTCCATACTTGCTAGGCCCGGCCTAGTCCATCCCAACCCTCACGGAACTGGCCACTGCCTGCCACGCCTGGACCCGGGTCAGCAGCGGGCTCGTGGGATGCCGTTCGAGCGGAGCGCGCTCTGGTGGACGGCGGACGTCTCCATTGCTCAGAGATAAGGACATTGCGCTGAGAGCTTTTGCCAATTCGCAGCCCTGCACCTAGGGTCTTCCCGTTCGGGGTGTCGAGTGGGCTCCCGAGATACTGCTTTCATAAAGGTTGGGGTCCTCCTCCAGCTCCTACCGTCCGAATTTCCTAGCCCTTCGTCACGAACCTGCGACGTCCACTCCACCGGCACCGGGGCTCGCGCAAAGCTTCGGCGGAAGCCAAAAAAAACTTCAGCCCTCACCCGCGGCGGTTGCTCCTTCCTCGGCTCGATTCCACCAACTTTAAGGTGGATCGCCAGTTCTCCACTGGTCCTTCCCTCAACAACCAAAAAAGCTTTGCGCTGTTCGATCCGATCGAAGATTCAAGTCCCGACTTGGCACCGCCATAAACCGGCAAGATGGGTTTGATACACACCATCAACGTCAAGGTCGCCAAGAGCCCTGTTGGGCGGTGGTT